TGGCATGGTACCAGTACAAAAACAGACACCCAGGTCAGTGGAACAGAACTGAAAGCCCAGAAATAAAACCGCACATCTATGGACAGCTAATCTTCAACAAAGGTGCAAAGAATATACAATGGAGAAATGATAGTCTCTTCAATAAATGGTGTAGGGAAAACTGGACAGCCACATGCAAAAAAATGAAGGTATACCACTATCTCACGACATACACAAAAATAAACTCAAAATGGATCAAAGACTTGAAGATACATCCTGAAACTATAAAACTCCTAGAAGATAATATAGATAGTACACTTTTTGTCATTGAACTAAAAAAGATCTTTTCAAATACCATGTCCTCTCAGAAAAGGGAAACAAAAGAAAAAATAAACAAGTGAGAATTCATCAGATTAAAGAGCTTCTGCAAGGCAAAATAAACTAGAATCAAAACAAAGAGACAGCCCACCAACTGGGAGGAAATGTTTTCAAATCATGTATCTGACAAAGAGTTAATCTCCATAATGTACAAGGAGCTCACACAAACGAACAATAAGAACACAAACAACCCAATCAAAAAATGGTCAGAGGAGATGAACAGACATTTTTCCAAAGAAGATATGTAGATGGCAAATAAACACGTGAAAAGATGTTCAACATCACTAATCATCAGGGAAATGAAAATCAAAACTACACTAAGATACCATCTTACACTTGTTAAAATGGCTGTAATCTCTAAGACTAAAAATATCAAATGTTGGAGAGATTGTAGAGAAAAAGGATCCTCGTACACTGCTGGTGGGAATGCAAACTGGTGCAGCCACTATGGAAAACAGTATGGAGATTCCTCAAAAAACGAAAAATGGAAATACCATATGACTCAGCCATCCCACTACTGGGTATCTAGCCAAACAATTTGAAATAAACAGTCCAAAATAACATATGCACCCCTATGTTCATTGCAGCACTACTCAAAATAGCCAAGACATAGAAGCAATCCAAGTGCCCATCGACTGATGATGGATAAAGAAGATGTGATATATATAATGGAATACTACACAGCCAGAAAAAAGACAAGACAAATTCATCCCATTTGCAACAACATGGAAGGACTTAGAGGGAATTATGATAAGTGAAATAAGCCAGTCTGAGAGAGACAAACACCAGAAGATTTCACTCATATGTGGAATATAAACAAACACATGGACCGAGAAAACAGTTCAGTGGTTACCAGGGGAAGAAGGGTGGAGGGTAGGCCGGGGGGTGAAGTGGAGCACTTACGTGGTGACAGTCACGAAATAATGTTCAACTGAAATCTCACATTGATGTAAACTATTATGAACTCAATAGAAAAAATTTAGTTATATCTTTAGCAAAGAAAACTCCAGGAGACCATTCAAACAGAATTGCTAGCAAACATAATTAGACTTTGAGGTGCCAACAGTTCTGAGAGAGTATGTCCAGCAGGGATCAAATTATAGGCTCTGCTCCCATTACATTCGTCTTGTTGCAGCCTCACGGAGAGCTCAGCCTGTGTGGTCTTTGTTTGTGTGGTAAAATACATGTAACATAATGTTTACCATTGTAACCATATTTAAGTATACAATTCAGTGGCATTAAGTCCATTGACAATGTTGTCATGACCCCTTATTTCCAGAAACTGTCATAATCCCAAAGAGAAAGTCTGTACCCATTACACGGCAACTAAACCTCTAAATCTCTCTCCTCCTAGCCCCAACCTTTGCAGACTTGCATTATCTGAACCCACATTCTTAAAAAGCAGCCTATGAAGGATGATCTTCCCATACGAGACCCTAAATTTTTTTCTTTTTTGCTTTGTAACAGTGAAACTCATGAATGACCTACAATTGCCAGATGTGAAGGGCTATAAGTGGCCAAAGAAAGATCTGAAGGTGACCACTTTGGTGATGCTAGGATTCTCTGACTCTCTTGGAGAGTCTTGTCCTCCTCCCTATTCACAGGTTAGCTGCCCCTGTAGAATGCGGAGGTGAGGAAATGGGGATAGCATGTGTTCTATTAACAGACATATTGATATATATGGGGCCTGGGGATCACTTGCTTTTGAAATATTCCCAGTTACTTCTAACACAGAGCCAGGGTTGATGAACAACTGGTAGGACATTCTTCATCCCTACAGTCAGTGGAGGGAATATCTTTTACCTTCCTGGAGAGTAGTAAAGAATATGTGAGACAGAAGAGGTAAACCTTCCAGGAGAAGGTCTGGACCATAAGGGTGCTTGTTGCATGTAAACTCTTCGTGTTTTAGAAATAATAATGATACTTTATAATATTTGTTGTTTTATATTATCAATTTATTCAATTTATCATCAAACAACTCTGTGATATGAATATTATTTCACAGAAAGATAAAGTGATAGTAGAGGGATGTGTATGCAAGTATATGTGTCTATTTGCTTTTCTGTGTGTTTATCTGATTCTGTGTGCATGTCGGATTGTGTGTGTCTCTGTGTGTTGTTGAGTGTAAAATGTCTGTATGTGTATAAAGTTTAGTTTAGGTTATGGGACTTAGAGGGGACTTCACAGAAGATGAGATGAGAAATATCCTATAGATAAGATGTCAACTGTCCTGTGTGGGGAAGGATATAGAAGCAAAGGGGACACAACAGGACTGGTGCAAGGCTGTCATTCAATGTGATGCATAAGCGAATGGCATATAGACCACAGCGGCTGAGCACAGAATCATTGGTGAGCAGGGAGATGAGCTCATGGAAGTTCTAGTGCGCAATGCCAACAGTGGGACTGGATCCTCCAGCAGCGATTCCTATCTGGGTTCTCAGGATGTTTCAAGAGCTCTATGAATCCCTGTTTCCACCAAGTGCAGTATGTATGTCGAATACATAACGTGTTTCACAACACAGGGACTAATTTAAATGTGCATATTTCATGATGTGAATAAAAATACACATTTACTGTAAAAGCATTGCTGATAATGTATATTAGTAGATAATAGTTTTCTTCTAGTTTTTCTATCAGAGTTTGTATAAATATACCTACTATTATTTCAGTGTGGGTTTACGATTAATAATAAGCTCTGCTACTTGAAACGTTTGGAAACATGTGCCCACTAGTAATTCAGGATTACAGAAATAAGATCTTGTTTGCATTTTATTTTAAAAGGGTCACTTTGGCATCAATGAGGATGATGTGCTGCAGGAAAGTATCTCAGAGCCCAGGAGAGCACTGGGGAGACTTTCCCGCAAGCCAGGAAGGACTAAGACTGGATTGTGATTATGGCTGTAGAGATGGAAAGCAGGGCATGCTCGGAAGTGATGGTGTGCAATGGAATACTACTCAGCCATAAGAAAAGATGAAATCTGGCCATTTGTGACAACATGGATGGACCTTGAGGGTATTATGCTAAGGGATATAAGTCAGAGGGAGAAAGTCAAATACCATATGTTCTCACTCATAAATAGAAGATAAAAACAACAACAAACAATCACATAGAGACAGATTGGATTAGTGGTCACCAGAGGGAAATGCGGGAGGCAAGAGGGCAAAAGGGGTGATTAGACACATGTGTGTGGTGATGGATTGTAATTAGTCTTTGGGTGGTAAGCATGATGTAATCTACACAGGAATCAAAATATAACGATGTAGACCTGAAATTTATCTAATGTTATAAACCAATGTTACTGCAAAAAAAAAAAAAAAAAAAAAGGAAGTGATGCTGTGGCTGTAGAGGGGGCAGAACATAGTGGATTCTTTGATGTCCGGAGCTAAATGAGCAGTACAAAGCTCATAAAACTCCCTGAAATATCCACATCTCAATCCCTGAAGCTTGTAATAATTTCCTTCCTTGGCAAAAAAAGGACTTTGAAGATGTGATAAAGTTACAGTTTTTGAGATGGGGAGACTATCCTGAATTTTCTGGTGTCCTCTAAATGCAATCCCATATATGTTGTATGAAGGAAGCAGAGGAAGATTTTACACACTCACAAAGGAGAAAGCAAAGGGGCCTCACGGGACAGAGATTGGAGTGATGTGGGAACAAGACAAGGAATACCATCATTCACCAAAGCTGGAAGCAGCTATGACATTTTCATCTCGACTTTCTACAGGGAGTGTGGCCTTCCTGACACAACGATTTTGGCAGAGTGTTAGAGATTTTACACTTCTGTCCTCCAAACCTTAAGAAATCAAGTTAGTTTAAGGCACCAAGTGCGTGGTAGTGTGTTAGAGCAGACACTGGGAACTAACCCAGAACCTATGATGTATCCAAACTTTCTGAGTCAGCTGCCTCATTGGGTGGTGGGCCCATTGGCCAGGATGCGGGACACATGGAAGGGGAGCAGGTTGCAGGCAGAGAGTGAGTTCAATTTTACATATTCCTTCAGAAATAACTGTGGCATGCTGGAATGGAGTTGTCCAGATGGCAGCTGGGTGGTTGTTTCTGGAGCTCTTGGGAGAATTTGAGGGAGGAAGTATTAGCTTGAGCTGTTGGTGAGTGGTGTAGTCATTGATGAGCCATGTGAGTGAGTGCACAGAGTCAAAAAGAGTTGACTGAAATCGAACCCTGGATATTCACTATAAATTGAGAGGTAGATGAAAACAAGTTACTCTGGACAGTTCATGCGATTGAAACCACAGTGAAGGGAGAGGGCCAAGCAGGTTTCTTGTGGTTCTGATGAGGCCAAAATAGTAGTGATGCTGCTGGTTGGGAACCATGTGACTGGGCAGCCAGTTGGGTTGCAGGTATCCCTCAATGCAAGACCAGTAGCAGGAATGATTTAATTACTTTTTACCCTTAACCATCCTTTTCACTCATGACTACATAAATGGGAAATCTGTAAAGTAACGCAAAATGATTCGTGACCAAATATTTCCTCTTGTGATCCAGGCAGCTCAGGCTGCCGTGGGTAACTGGACGATGGGTCTCTGAAATTTACTAGTGACAACACACAATGGCCACTTCATGACGAAAACCACCCCAACTCGAAGGCAAAGACTGTTCGATAATCACAAGACAAGTAGAGGAGTGCAGGGCAAGGAATTTATTGAAGCAAGATGTTGAAACCTTTACATTTTCCAGTGAAGATCAGATCATTGAAAGACAGAGGTACTGTGATAGAATTTTTGATAAATCAATCTAACCACCTTTCGAAACTGCTTTTGCCTGAAACAGAAAAATAAAAGAAAAAAAGGAGGTTATTCATGATGCTCCTGGAGGTGACACATTAACACAGCCCATTGTTTACATCAAGATGTCAATGAAGTTTCAACCAACAAAGGGCAAACGAGAGATAGCAGACAGGACCCCAGTGCTCAGGTAAACTAAATAGACCTGGTACAGTTACAACTGACCATGCATGTCAGGAAAGGACCATTTCCATAGTCCAGCAAAGAAACCCTGAGGTGACCCAAGAGTAGGACTCAGGTTTCCATGGAAGGACGGGGTGAAGGGTTGGACAGAACAGCCCAGGGTTTCTTTTCTCTGATGTCCCAGGTCAGACAACTCTACTATTCCACTCCAAAGGGGACACAAGTTTGAGGGATGCAGACAGGGGTGGGAGAGGACTTGAGAAGTACTGCTCTCAGGAGATTCCCGGGCTCAGCATGTGGAAATTCAACCTGATGGCACATCTGCTTCTCAGCACTGAGAATCCAGCATCTGTGGGCATTGGCAGCTGAACCTCATGACCCAAATCCAGTGGTAGATGGACTGAGAGGTACCTTTAAATATCTGCTTTTTTGACAAAGACATAATTTAAGTGTTTCACCTTCATATGTGGTTGCAGGAGATATAACAAGGAGGGTCTTTGCCCACTGGTCAAGATAAGGAGGCGAGTCGTAGGTGAGGAGTAGAAAAGTGGACTGAGGTGCAAGGAGTGGGCCTCATCTCTGTAGAAGCCGGCAGAGAACGCAGCTAACCCCACCCACCATCCTCACAGAGGGAAGGGGCTAATTCCCACCCTCAAACTATCTCAGCATTAAACACTCCCCATGAGATTCCACAGGGACTGTGTCGACTGGGTAAGGGAACTCGCCCTCAGGAAAGCTCCCAGGCAGGGAGGCAGCAGTGCTTTGGCCCTTCAACATCACTGCATGGGGCCCCAGGTGTCCTGCTCCTCCGGACATTATTGGGAACCTACAACCCAGAAAGGTGACCTGAGAAGGAGGAGCAGGCCCAGATGCTCTGTGAGCCTGGGTATTGTTCAACTGGTGTACTGTTATCATCCACTTTGTGACCACGGGTCATCCTATCAGAGGTGAGCAGCAAGGCAGGTGCCTCTACCATCTGTTCCCCCAAGAGCAGCACCCTGACCTCCTTCCTGTCTGTTCACCTGAGCAGAAGCATCCATGCGTTAAGAAGGAAGAAGTTACCAGTGCTTTTAGAATTAACCATCTGTTCCCAATGGAGATCTTATCTGCGCATTTCTTTGTTTCCAACTTGGCCTTAACAGCTTCTGGAGGTGCATCAAATCTACCAGCCTGTAGCTTGTACAGAGGTTTGTTGAAGGTTAAGAATGCAGTCGTATCTGTAACAGCGGCTGGACAAATAACTCCACCAGCTAGATCAGCAGAAAAAGAAATACAACTGACATAAGGAAAGTCGATTTTTCTGTGGCTCCTGAAATTAGGACTAGACAGGAAACCCAGGGGTTTTATATTTTCATCTCATCATTCTGCTGATGACAATGTGAGACCCTCAAGGTCATAATTTCCTCAAGGTCGCACTGCAAGGGGCCGAGCCACGACTGGACACCAGGTATCCTGATGCCTGATTCAGTTTTTATCCTTTGTAAAGTACACCCACTACTCCCAAGACTCTCCTGGTTTGCTGAAATTCACTTTTCCCTTATTTCAAGAAATTAAGGTTTCCTTGTCAAAAGAGTGACACCTTATGGACAAAGAGAACAGATTAGTGGTTACCAGAGGGGAAGGGGGTTGAGGGATGGGCATAAGGGGAAAGGGGCACATATGTATGGTGACTGACAAATAATAATGTACACCTGAAATGTCACAATGTTATAAACTATTATGACCTCAATAAAATTGAGAAAAAAAGAGTGACACCTGATTTTGTCTCAGATATTGGAGAAGAAGAGACTTTAGTAATTGATTTTTCAGGTGAGTGGTAGAGTCAGATTTTACCAGAGATCAGAGAAAGACGAACAAATCTTGAGATGATTAAGTAAACTATTTATACATTAGAAGACACTATTTTGAGACTAAATTAACAAATAGGATTATGTCATTGGATGCAGACATAGCTCAAAAGCTTTAAAAAAAAAATGAAGTGAATCAGTTTGAACACATTTGAAGCTTACACACAAAGTTAAGATTGCCTCTTCTATTCTGCAGTGATGTATAGAATTCCTTAGAGAAGGTGAGAGGTGGGAAGTGTGGCTTATTCCTGACCCCACTAGAATTGTGCTGAGACTTGAAGTAACCACTTTTTCTGGTCCAGATTCTCCATCCCCCCAAGTCTTTGCAACCAGCCTGCAGCTCTGGACCTGTCCTACCAGGCTCTGACCTGACCCCTGGTCAGACAGTAAATTATGAAGATCATATGAAGATAATTTGGAGAGGGTAAGATCAGAGGCCACGTAGGGAAAGAGGAGGAGGTTTAGAAAGTTAGATGAAAAAGGAATACCCAACAAGACTTGGGTCGGTATCGAGGGTATAAAGACATGGAAAAGCATTGTTGAATAAACAGCTAGAATTAATCTAAATAAATAGAAAATGTAGCCCTAATGACTGTGCTAATTCTACTACAATTCCTGTTTTTAATCCTAAAAAACTAGTAATGTTTGTAGACTGCTGCTTATTCACAGAGCCCATTTGAAGATTTATCATTCAGAGATTCAGAGAACACTGGCTCTTTTGAACTGAGAGCTCTCCAAAAACCCTTCCAGCTGTAATATCTTATGAGTCTGAACCTATGTGTTAAAAAGCTGCGGACTTAACTGGCACCTAAAAATTTCTGGAAGGAGAACATCTGACAACTATGAGATGTCTGCTTGATACCTAGAGCTGGACTCCTCACACACTTCATCCCTCTCTGTTGTCATAGCTACACTTGCTGGTAGCTCTGAAACCCAATGACAAGAGGAGACTTGGGGAGATCAAGTATTTTGCTCAGTCAAAGCACTGGTAAGTGGCAGAGCCGAGATTCCCACCCAAATCTTATGATGTCATACTGCTTCTCAAACACAGATCACAGACAAGGAGTCAGGCTTCAGATGGAAAACTCCTAAAATTTGCTGGCAATGATTTTTTGTAAAACTTCCAGAGTTTTGGGATTTGATAAAATGAGCCCTGGGCTTTCGGGGGGCTAGTTCACAAGTAGAGAAAAAAGTTTGGATTTTGATCTGATCATCCCAGTTAAGTTCACCCAGTTCAGACAAGGTTACTTACCACAGCTGGTGCTGGACTGCTTAGAAATGATACTCACCGTCATAGTAACAAAGGGCCAGAGTGACCAGCAGGACAGACAGGGACAGCCTCATCGTTGTTTATTTGCTTTGAGTTTTCCGCTTTAGCAAATGATGAGCTTTAGGAGCTGGCCTCAGGAGCCTGGGGAGCCCAGGGCTATTTGTAGCTAGAAAGCCTCACTGGTCCTGCCCACGTGGCATGTGGCAGGTCACAAGGTCTGGCTTCCAGCCCTTTCTTCCCCACATAGGGCTGATGCCATCCATCTCTGTCACAGTCTCTAATGACTGGGTCAATGTTCCCATTTACAGACATTGCTGGCACCACAAACCTCTCCTTCGTAGCAATTACCAAGGTTGTAGCTTTCAAATGTATAATGAGTTAACTGATGGGAGCTCCCCTGGAATTTAGCTCCTTAATTTCAAGGCAGTATCTTATTTTGCTCATCTTTACTTAGCACAGGGCCTGGCACAGAGAGGAATACGAGCAAATATTCCTTAAATAAATGAATGAATGTAAATTAACATAACACCAACTTGGTTAGAGTGCATCTTTAGTGTAAAAGGATGCTTGGTATGCCACATTTGTCTTTGGGCAGTTGAGGGAAGAAGGTTAGTAGCATGGTGACAATTATGGAAGAAATAAGTGGTTTTCAGGATCCTAAGAGTAGAAGAGCAAGTTTGAAGATGAAGGCTACCTCTCCAACTACTAATTTCCTACTCAGCTCTAATGTTTCAAAAGTATCAAAGAGAGTTTAAATCAAATCAAGCTCGAAATTGATTAAAGGAAGCTCCTCTTTCATTTTACCTATCAATCAGGATGATCACACTTTCTGTGGCCTCAGGGTCCCAGCAGTAGAGAAGCCCATAGGGGCTCATCCTCTGCTTCTCCCAACCACGAGCAGAGTGCTCTTTGGAAACGCCCAGGGAGGTGTGGGCCATTCTGACTAAAGCCATTGGGAAGTGAAGTTGGTTGTAGAGAGGAGCATATCTGAGTGGCACTCAGGAATACATAAAATTTTGTCATGGAGAAATTTTTGGAGGAGGGATGCTGAGAGAACAGCATGAAGGAGGACAAGACAGCATAAACCACGTGTCTTGTTGAGGGAACATCAGGAACCCAGGTTACCCTGAAACATACAGTAGTAAATGAGAGACTAGGTGAGGCTTTGTGACTGGAGACAGGATGGGCCAAAATAAGGAGATTTTCCATTTCACTCTACGGATAATGGTGGCAGAGTGGATGGGTGAGGTGAGAAACATCTAGATTTTTTGCCCCAATGCTTTCTTGCTGTCTTTCAGATCTCAAGACAAAAATCACATGACTTTTCCATAGCCATTATGATGGCTACCATTGAAGAAGAAGAAGAAGAAATAGCAAGTGTTGGCAAGGGTGTTCTTCACATAGGAACACGTGCATTTTGGGCAGGAAAGTAAAAGGGTGCAGCTGCTAAGGAAAGAGTCTGGAGGTCCCTCACACAACTAAAAATAGGGGGCTGGTCGGGTGGAGTAGTGGTTAAGTTTGCACACTCTGCTTCAGTGGCCCGGGGTTTGCAGGTTCAGATTCCAGCCGTGGACCTACACACCGCTCATCAAGCCATGCTGTGGCGGCAACCCACATATAAAATAGAGGAAGATTGGCACAGATGTCAGCTCAGGGCCAATCTTTCTCAGCAAAAATAAAAAATAAAAATAGAGTTAGAATATGATCAATCAAGTTTTCCTCTGAGTATATATGCAAAAGAATTTAAAGCAGGGTCTCAAAGACATATTTGCACATGTTGCTACGAACATTCGTAGCACCCTTATTCACAATAGCTAAGAGGTAGACGCAACCCAAGTTTTGGAGGACAGATGAATGGATAAACAAAATGTGGTGTCTACATATAATGGAATATTATTCATATTCACCTTATAAAGTAAGGGAATCCCGTCACATGCTACAATGTGAATGAACCTTGGGGACAAGACACTAAGTTAAGCCAGTCACCAAAAGACAAATATTGTATGATTCCACTTGAATTAAGTATCTAAAGTAGTCAAATTCATAGAAAGAGAGTAAAATGGTGGTTGCCAAAGACTAGGTGGAGGGAGAATAAAATGTTCGATAAAAATCAAATCATCAAACTAACAGTGAGCTGATGATATTGGGAAACATACTATTGTTATCCTCCATACAGGTCCTTTGGGTTGCAAAACCTTCTGTAGCTAATAATGACTGGTAATAAAAAGAGTAGCAATATCTTTTGGTCACTAACCATGGCTAAACAATATGTAAACACAATTTAGCATATTCAATCATTGTTGCAAATCTATTATATTTCCCATTTTAACAGTTGAGTTAACTAAAGTGCAGAAAGTAAGAAACTTGTTCAGAGGCTGGCCCCGTGGCCGAGTGGTTAAGTTCGCCGACTCCGCTTTGGTGGCCCAGGGTTTCACTGGTTCAGATTCTGGGCGCAGACATGGCACCGCTCATCAGGCCATGTTGAGGCAGCATCCCACATGCCACAACTAGAAGGACCCACAACTGAAATATACAACTATGTACTGGGGGGGATTTAGGGAGGAAAAAAAAGAAGCAGAAAATTGGCAACAGTTGTTAGCTCAGGTGCCAATCTTTAAAACAAAAAAAAGAAAGAAATTTGTTCAAACTTGCACAGTTTGGAAGCACGTAGGTCAAGCTCAGCCACTGATGGTATGTGAATGGTAAAGAAAAAAGTTGAGATGCCTGGTAGTGTTGACCTGTCAGATAGAATGGAGGTGGATGACAGTTAAATTCTATCTCAGTTTCTGACTCAGTTGAATTCTTCTAGTTGATGGCTCCTCTGTTCCTTCATGTGTCTCTCTTCAATTCTTTCTTTCCTTTTCTTTTTTTAAAAGAGATCATATATGACAATGTCGAATGCTGGCGAGGATGTGGAGCAACAGTCTCATTCATTGCTGATGAGAATGCAAAATGGCACAGCCACTTTGGGAGACAGTTTGGCAGTTTCTTACAAAACCAAACATACTTTTATCATACAATCTAGCAATGGTGTTCCTTGGTATTTACACAAATGAGTATGAAAATTTTGTCCACACAAAAATGTGCACATGGTGTTTATAGCAACTTTATTCATAATTGCCAAAACTTGGAAGAAAACAAGATGTTCTTCAGCAGGTGAATGGATAAAGAAACTGGTACATTAAGACAGTGGAATATAATTCTAAAATTCAGTGGGATTCAGCACTGAAAATAATGAGCTGAAAGCCACAGAAAGACATGGAGGAACCTTAAATGCATATTCCTAAGTGAAGGAAGCCAACCCAAAAGACTACATACTGTGTGACCCCAACACTATGACATCCTGGAAAAGGCAAAACCATGGAGACAGACAAAGACGAGTGGTTTTTTGGATCAGGGAGGAGAAAGGGATGAATAGGCAGAGTGCAGAGGATTTTCAGGGTAGTGACACTATTCTGTATGATGTTATAAGACTGGATATATGTCATCATACATCTGTCAGAACCCATAGAATGTACAACCTAAGAGTAAACTCTAATGTAACTCATTGACTGAATGACACTGTTGTGTCAGTGTAGGTTCACCAGCTGTAACAAATGTACCATCAGGTGTGGAATGTTACACTGGGGGATGCTGTGCATTTATGGAGGTAAGGGGTGTATGAGAACTCTCTGCACTCTCTGTTCCATTTTTCTGTGATCCTAAAACTGCTCTGAAAAAATAAAGACTATAAAAAAATGAAGGGAACACCTTGTTAAAAGATTCTCTTCAAACAATAAAAAAAATCAGGTGAAAAAATGAATCAATGAATTGATCACTGCATATAGATCATTGATCAACTATCAGGAAAATCTAAGATAATCCACTAAAAAACCTATTACGACTGATGAATGCTCATTATATAGCTGAACACAAGACCAGCGTATAAATCTCAAATGCTTTCCCATAAACTTACAATTACCATTACATGACATATCAGAAAAAATAGGCCATTGGCAATATTAACAACAGCAGCAACAATAATATATTGAAATATACATAAACGGCTGTATCCAAACCCTTAAGGATAAAATCATGAAACTACTCACAGATAGTCAAAAGAAATATCAAAAAATGGAGGCACACACCTTCTTCCTGAAGGAAATATTAGAAAAGTTAAAGTCAACTATTCTCAAATAAGCCTACACATTTATTCCAGCCCATAGGAGAATCTTAAGTGGCCACTCTTACACTTCGTTTTGAATTCTGAACTTCAGTTTGGATCTTTCAGGACTAGGATGTATTCATTTATTGAGTGGTGAGGAAGAGCCCGACTTTAGGTCTAGACTACCTGGGTTCAAGATCAGCTTTGGCACTTTCTACTAATAGGGACATCAGCAAGGTGCTGACCCTCTCAGCCTCAGCTTCTTCATCTGTAAAATAAGGTTGATAATAGTAGTGCCTACCTCATAGGATTTGTGTAGGATAAATTAATTAACACAGGAAAAATGCTCGACAGTGTCTGGCAGTAAATGTCAGCTATTACACGTACACAACAAAAAGGAAAAGATGCAAATAATAAGTCAAGCAAAATAAATACCTCATTCCCACAGTCAAATATCAAACTGAATCTTGACTCTGCCAACAAGGAATGTTTATTTATCCTAAATAAAGTAACAGAGTGTGCTTCAGAATTTGGCTCTGGTTCCATCAGAATTTCTCTCAGAATGAATTAAGTACTTTTCAATCACTTAATTTATTGTTTTACAATCACATCTAAGTGACTATTATTGTGATTTTAAAATCCTAAATATTTAATATTGGAACTCATGGCATAGGAGGGTGGTGAGTGGGGATAGATATTATTTATCCCCAAGGAACACAAGGTATCTGGACTCATGTCCTCCACAGGATGTGCTGATCACATGTATCCTTTTGGCTGAGGCTGAAATCCCAGGATTCTCTAGGGCTTAAGTTTCTAATTGATTAACACATACATGCTGGATAGAAACACTTAAGAAGCATCACTTCAGAATCATAATGTCCACACATCCTTTTACAATATATGTACCATGTGGTTACATCGTTCTCATGTTCCACCTCCCCCCATGCACATTCTTGTTCCAATTTACAAAGAGAGAAGACGTATACATCATCCGTCAGAGGTTAGACAGCAT